CACAGTATCAAGTTTTTCCTCAAGCTCAGAGTCTATGCCAAAAAATCTAAATTTTTGTGCATTAGGTGGAACTACAATTGATAAAAATACAGTTCAATAAAATCACAGTTTAATAAAATTACAATTCAATAAAATATTTTCTACTTACTGAAATTTTTTTTATCTCCGCCCCTTTGATGCATCTACTTTTTTCTTAACAAGGCCCGAACCTAGCCAGTAGCCCTCTCATCAACTCCTTTCACAAGTTTCAATCTTTTTACAGTTAATTTAATTTGTTCTTCAATTGAGTTTATTGATACAATCTTCCTGTTTTTTCATGAAAGGTTTTGGAAATGTTTTGTAACCTTCTATATTAAAGTGTGCGGTTGGTCTATTATTAATTTCTCTCTTTCAAGGATAAATCACAGAATATGATCTTTACTTCCCTCTCCAAAATAGCTAATATTCATAATTCCTTTTGTTTATTCATCTAATATATCATGTAGATAAAACATTTGGACGAAAGAATATAATTGAGAAATTTATAAAATAATTATAAAAACTGAAACAGAATTCAAAAAAAAAAAACAGCATATCAAATTAGAGCTTAGTGGGATCAATTTATCAAAAAAAAAACACAATCCAAGATCACCAATTATATCATTACATACTTTAAGATGAGGTAGTATCTGTGATTAAAGGCGACGTGTGATCTAAAACCAGGTAGTATCCATAGTTAACACTGTGATGTGTGCTTTAAAATCAGGAAATATCTGTAAACGACAATGGCATATGTGATTTAAGACTAGGTAGTATCCATAGTTAAAAATGTGATGCGTACATTTAGACTAGGTAGTATATGTAACAAACAAGCGGTATGGCGACAGAGCACTATCGATGCTCTGCTCGCTTGGTCGTGTTTGTCGCACTGCTCTGCCCGTGTTTTCGCATTTCCTTTCAGATGACGTCTCCTCGCTTTCTGTCCGATATAATCTTTTCGGCAGAGATGGTTATCCATTCCTATACTACTGCACTTGCAGACGACCTCTCGATTCCTACACGTGCTCCTCTTTCAGAATCAGAGACTGGTTTTCGTATAGGTAAATCTTGCAATGTTCCTCAATCTTTTCACGATGCTCTTAAAGATGGTGGCAATCACACATTCATAAAAAAATTGGAGAAAAAAAATGGTAAGTCTGCTCTTATTCTCACAGAGGTTGAAACCAGAACTCTGGCGTCCTCTTGGCGTTTTTCTCTAGTGAGAAAATTTCTTTATGTCAACCTAAAATTGGAGATCATTCGGAAAGAGTTTGAGGTCATGAAGCTATTGAGCAGTTGAAATATTGGTTTACTCGACTGTCAGCACATACTGATTAAGTTGTCTCATGATGTTGATTATACCCGCATCTTTTCTCGGAAAGTTATCAAGATCAACAACTGTTATATGAAAATTCTGAAGTAGACTGCTGGTTTCGACCCAAAGGCGGAGTCCCCTATCATTCCAGTTCAGATAAAATTTATGGGGTTAAAATTACATCTGTTCAATTTGGAAATTCTCTACTCCTTAGCAACTGCTTACGGTAAGTCTCTCATGGTCGATAGTCATACACTTGTTGTCACTAGACTCTCTGTGGCTTGGTGTGGGAGGGTATCCCTCAACCAACTACGGATGAAGTGTGGAATGGAACCACTCACAACGGATTTTAGCAAAAGGTTGAAATCGAACCACACCCTCCTTATTGCTATCATTGAAGTATATTTGGCCACAGCTCTATTATTTGCTATCGTTTGCATCCTTATCTAAGGCCGAATATCGCTAAAGAACAGCCACCTATTATCCTTGTTGAGAAGATACAACCCGATCCTCTTCCGAACACCACAGTTCCTGAAGAAGAACAACATACTACAGCTACAGATCCAGTTGTGCTTATACCACCCACTATTATGAAGAAGACTCCCTTACATGTCAAGACACATGAGAGTGCTCCTTTGATCCAATAGCAGATCAGCCGGACAACATGTTGTTGCTTCTAATGTTCAACAATCTGCACATCTCCAGCACACGTAAGACCAAGATCTTCAGAAAAGGAATGGTAGGTCTATTCCAACTTTCGGAAGAGGAATGACAGGTCTATTCCAGGAGGAAGAAGAAGAATGGAGGTCGACTCCAGCTAGGGAACATATTGGATGATACATTGGTTACTACTTGCAATGGCAATTATCTTACCAACTTATTAGCTTGTTCCTTCTCTAAAACCAGAGGCAAAGGCAAAACCAAATTGGGTTGCTCTCTAGCCACCTGATACTTTGTATTTCAGCATTTTTAGGCTAATTCTTTATGTCTCTACTGTACTTTTCTGTATTTTCTAGTTTTGGAACCACTTGTGATTTTGGTGTGAACATGGTGCCATGTTTGGGCCCTTCAACACATTGTATCGGTATTTTCCTTTCTAGTTAATATATTAGCCTTTTTGGGCTTTCTATATATATATATATACACATATCAAACAGTTAAACTATAATATTTACTTATATAACACTCAAACCCTTAACATCACATATATAAATTTTTTATGCAAGATAGATAAAGCCCAAGTGGCAATCAATTAGTTCAAATGGTAAAAACCAAATCACTACAGCTAGGAAAACCAAGAAGCCCAACAGCACAACCTCTTGAATTTTCAAGAGAGAAGCACCGAACCGCCACCATCACATAAACAACAAGAACCAAACCATCGTCACTTACATGAATCTCTAAACAATAATTTATATGAGTTCATAAACAAGTATATGTAACAAAACAAGCAGAAAACAAAAAATGTTTAATTCATGAACTAATATTGAAACAAAAGAGGTTACTTTTTGAATCAATGATCAATCTCATACACAAATATTAAATTATCAATAAATATAATTTAAGATCAAAACTCAGAACCATGAAAAATGATAATGGTCATCTGAACATATAAAATCTTTTTGTCAACTTCACTATAATTCAAACCATACAAAAGAACTCATGTAATTCCATAGACTTTCATACATATCATATCTTGATAAAAAAAAATGCAACAAGGAAGAGTGGGTGTAACAAATAATCAACATGAACATCATAATTCTATATGAAGAATATCTGTAAGAAATAAAAATGAGAAATATAACATCATCAATGGGCAAACAATGAAGGAGGGCAGAGAGTCCGTGTAGATGAATTTACAAGCATAAGAATAGTGTGACGTGCATGTAAATTTCCCTTTAAATGCAAAATAAAGGCCCAATGACAATCAAATACTTCAAACGGCAAGAACCAAACCACCACAGAGAGAAAAACCGAAAAGCACAAGAGCACAACTTCTTCAATTTTATGAGACAAGCACCAAACCACCACCACCACATAATAGAGAGGAAAACCAATCGGCACCACCTCAAACACCAAATCACCAACAAAAAGAAAAACTGAAAAGCTCAATAGAGAAAACAAATGGGTAAAATGAAAAACAACATAGCACCACCACAGAGAACAACCAAGAAGCCCCATCCGTGCCATCTCAAGCACCAAACCACAAACAAAGAGAAAAATTTATGGTATTCAATATAGCACCTCAAGCACCAAACCACCTCAAGAAATACATCACCTCAAAACGAGCAACATACCACCTCAAGTACCAAATCACCAATAGGTGAATCGAGAAGATCAACAAAGAAAACAAAAAGGTAAAACAGAAAGCATCAAATCACCACCACAAAAGAGAATCGAGAAAGGAAGGAGAATAATACTACATACATAGAGAGGCAATGAGAGACAACAACAGCAAAGACGAACGGAGGAGAGAAGGGGACAAAAAACCGCACTGTTGCCCTAAAACCAAAGACGAATGGTGGGAAAAGGGGTCGAACGAAGGGTATTATCAGGGAAATAGAGGGTCATTTAGCGAATTGTAAAGGGGTAGGTTAGTACTTTCGCAACCAGACCGTGGAACAAAGACAGTACCCTTCGTTCGCCATTTTGCCATTCCGACGGCGTGTGGAGCCGAAAACAGGCAAAAAGAGCTCTCCCAAATGACACATGAACTGCTTTTCAAACCGAAAAGCAGGCAAAGCGCCTTCCAAACGTACCCTTGGTCATTTCTTTGCAAATAAAAGTTGAGTAAGAAAAATTGCAAAGCAATTAAGATTTCATTTAAGATCTTCAGTTCATTATGCTCATCGTCTTCAAATAATGTAATATAATTACCATATGGTATTAATATTAATTCTGCTGGGGCAAACATAGAAATGACAAAGATGCTAAAGTATGCAAGAAAAAGAGATCTAGGCCATCGTAAATTTAGAAGGATGGGGCAATTCTAAAAACCAGCATTTAGATATTTTCTTCCTTTCAAGCAATGAATTTTAGCTATTTTAAACATTAGCCATTTACAATTTATGACTGATAGGGAATTACATGAGGATAAGTAACTCTATCCAACTAGCCACTTACATATTGTTGATAGACATTGCTAACATCCAAACAAGCTTTGGAAAAACTACACAAGTAAAAAATAAAGGCACTGTACGCAAAAAAAATTTAGCCATAACAATTTCTGGCTTCATTTAAACAAATATATAATAAGAAAGAAATCCGTTGAGAGAAACTATCATATGATGAAATATATTGATCTCAAATGATGATGACATGAACTAATCTTATTCAAGTATAATCAGAAATACGGAAGAGTAAACATCATAACTGGTTTAATTCCATAAGCAAAAACATAAAAGGGAAATTTACATACCTAGCACACAATTCTTATGTATTTATATATCTCACCTAAACTTTTATATTTACATGCATAGCAGTTTGGTGCTTTAAACCTATGCATGAAAATGTGTATTTCACTTTAAGAAAGTAGTAATAGTGCTACTTTTTGTGTTTATTAAAGATTTGAGTGCTATGCATGTAAATATGAAAGTTTAGATGTGAGATATGTAAATACATTAGAGTTCTATGCTATAAATGTAAATGCCTCAAACATAAAATATACCAGCCACCACGTGGAGCGTCTGAATAAGAGCTAGGATCCATGGGGTCCAACACATCATCCTCTTTGTAGGCACGTTTTTTATAATCTTTTTTGCTACCTTTGCCAAATGGTGGTTTTGAACTTGTCCTGCACATCCAAAATTGGTAGTCATCCAGAAAGAAAAGAAATGTGTGCATTATGCTCAAATTGAAAATAACATTTCAACCCCTCGATTGAAAAAGTATGCTGGTGTTCTGTGGAATGCAAAGAAATACAATCAAAACTGAAAATTACATCTCCATCCTAAGATTCGAAAAGTGCACATCTGTTAATTAAAACATTCTCTAAACCCAAAAAGCTACTTGGATATAAACATGAAAGTGTAGAAGGATGCAGCATACCGTTGTTTAGAAGCAGCCATTGCAGGTGTTGCCGTACCATTACTCTGCTCCAAAGAATTCATATTTGAAATAGCATATTGTTGATAAGGAAGATTGAGAACCCTGGATAAGCATCAAACAATGCTTTGACGTATACAAAGGAAGGGTGGAAACTCTATATACATGATAAAAAGCTCTCCATATACATGAGTATAAGCTCTTTCAAAAGCTAAATTAAGAGAAAAGTGCCAAAAAGATCCATTGATTTTCTTTTGGGGTGTCATTTTAGTCCTAGAGTCTATAAAGTGTCAATTTAGTCTCAGACTATTTTAATGAAGGCTAAAATAATCTCGCATGAGGGTATTTCGGACCATATTAAAAGATTTTGGGGGCTAATTTGGCATTTCTATAGACAATGAGACTAAAATAATCCCATGTGAATAGTCAGGAGAATTTTTTTGCACTTTCCATGTTAAATTAACATAAATTAAGTATAGAGTAAAGTGATAAAATCGTCCCTTGACTATTTACATGAGGTCATTTTAGTCTAGAGTTTATAAAAAATCAAAATTAGTCATCCATCTCTCATTGTAAGGACTATTTTAACATATGTTAAAAGAGTCTAGGGAATTAATTGACACTTTCTATAAACTCGGGGACTAAAATGCCGCCCTGCAAAGAGTTAAAGATCCATTTTGATAATTTTCTCATAAAGTACATCTAAAAGATCTTAGAAAGAAACAAATAATAGACAAAAACAGACAGACAATCGATATAAAATAATGCAGTTATTTGTAAATTAATTAGAAGAAGTATTATTTTCTTTATGCATTAGGATGTGATATTCTTCAATATACCTTGTGCAGTGATTGCAATAACCCCATGTCATGACTAGGTCAAGCCCCCATCCACCACATCCCATGCATCTTGGATAACTTTGAGCTGGATCACCATTTCCAGTTGTTTGATTTCCAGCAGATATGGGATCAGCATTCTGTGGTATAGACCCATTTATTGCACTTGGCTTCTCCCACTGTGTTGCATTTGTCCTTCTATTGTAGTAGTATCTTTGGCCTGCTTATATGTTGAGATATGTATAATAAAACACTCCCGCCTAATATGAAATTTCTTTATAAGAAGATTTACATGTATACCACTCAATTCTTATGTATTTACATACATAACATCTAAACTTCAATTTTTACATATATGCCACCTTACCCATGCATGAAAAGGTGTATTTCAGTTTTAAAAAGTTAAAATTATGATATTTCTGAATATGAAAGATTTGGGTGCTATAAATGAAAAATAGTAAAGTTTAGGTGTTAGCTATGTAAATACATAGGAATTGGGTGGTATGTATGTAAATGCCCCTTATTTATTTAGCATTGAATGTCAAAGTGAATGGGGTCGTTAATTTGACTTGAAGATCAACAACCACTAAAAAATCAAATCCACTTTTTACTCAGATTAAGCTAAAATCTATGTCAACGAGCAAACTCATAAGCCTCAACTGATTTGGATTGAACGATAGATATATATACTATCTAGATATACTATATAGATATATACTATATAGATATATACTATATAGATAGATATATACTATATAGATAGATATATCTATCTATATAGATAGATATATCTATCAATATAGATATATCTATCTATATAGTATATATCTATATAGATACATATGCATAAATACATACACACCAACAATATTATACGTCAGAATAAATTTTTCACTGAGATTCTTTCAATTATTGGATTTTATCAAGCATAGATTGAATTTAATAAGCCATGTACGGCCCAAATCAAGATCAGATGGATTTAAACTACACCAGACTTGGCTCGGTATGAGATCTTCAAACAATATTCTGTCGCTTTCTACATATGATGAAAAATAAAGTGATGCTCAAACCTCCTCGATGTGTAATAACATCAAGCGAATTTTACATATTTAGCACACAATTTTTATGTATTTGCCTATCTCACACCTAAACTTTCATATTTATTTATATAGCACTTTGGTGCTTTAAACCAATACATGAAAATGTGCATTTCACCTAAAAATAATAATATTGCTATTTTTTATGCGATGTTAAAGATTTAAGTCTGTATATAAATATGAAAGTTTAGGCGTGAGATATGTAAATACATGAAAATTTTGCTATGCACATAAATGCCCCTAAAATCAAACTATAAAAATTTATGAAGACAAAAATAAAAATGATTAGAACTAGAGCATAAATAAGATTTACTAGAACTCAACAAGCAAGCCAATATAAAATAATGGCATGCCCTTCCCATGTTTCTTCCTACAACTTCCATTAAATTCGGTTATCCATGTTGAATTTGAACATATGGATGAATGTGTTCAATTGTTTGGGGAAACAAGTGTGATATAGAGTCGCAGAACGAGCCAAGATTACAAAGGCCAAGTGAATGAGCTTTTCTTATGGAGATATTTACTGTCATGCTTCGAAAAAAAAAAACATTTGATATAATAAAAAATGGTGTTTGCACCAGGTTGTGTTATCTTCGGTTCAACTCCAGACAATCTCTTAATGGTTGAACTACAATCAAACCCAACCACTACTTGTTAATAAGAAATAGGGAAATTTACATACATAACACAATTCTTATGAATTTACATATCTCACACCTACACTTTCATATGTACATACATAGCATTTTGGCACTTTAAACTTAAGCATGAAAAGATGTATTTCACTTTTTAAAAAAATTTAAAAATTGTAATAATACTATTTTCTATGTGATATTAAAATTTGAGTGATAGGTGTGTAAATATGAAAGTTTAAGTGTGGGATACGTAAATACATAATAATTGTGTGTTGTGTACGCAAATACCTCTAAGAAAGCTCCACATTCGAACCAATAAGAGGACATAGATCGGGTTTAAGGAATTGTTGAGAACAAAATTAATACTCCTGCAAGCCAAAAACCAAGGCCAACTTGTCAAGTAAGCTCACTTTTCTTGCCTAAGTTCTCATATCCCTCCATGCCAGGTTAAGTAAGGGAAAGGATATAGTTTTTCATAGAAGAGTTCTACCCTGCGTTGTTAATGGTAATAGATGATAATGAGGATAGAACTTTGATGCTTAAGAATATTTTTTACTAAAGCTAATCTATTAAGATCTTTCTTCATAGTTTTTGGAAACAAAGAATGGTATTTCGCAGGTCATATTTTCACTAGAACTACCAGTTCAGGCAATTCTTCTCATAGTAATTCTCCAATCAAAACGGATCACAGTTTCTACCACATACCTGTTGATTCATCCAAGGCCTCTTCCCAATCTTGAGGCAGAGATAACGAAGCAGTAGTCTGCTGAGCCCTAACATATTCACTAGGAAGCTCCCATTGGCTTTCTCCAGTTTTCTCGTGATAGAAGTATGGCGTACCAGTTTCGGGGGCTTTTGCTTCAACCTAAGTGGATAAAAAACATAACTCAGCAATCACCTGTGAATGTTTCAGAATTCATAATTGCATGGAAAGCATATTTCATAGAGTTACACATACCCAGCCAGGAGGCAATGTCAGCACAATTTTGCTAACAGCAGGCTGATCTTCAAATTTCTGTAATTAAACAATATGAACTTTATTTTAAATAGTGAAAAAAGATTATACTGACAACCCATATAAAAAAGTACAAAATACCACACAATCCTATGTATTTATATATCTAACACCTAAACTTTGATTTTTTACATTTATAACAATCAAGACTTTCATATCACATAAAAAATACCACTCTTACTAACTTTTAAAAAGTAAAAGACATCTTTTATAACATAAGTAAACTGGTGAAAATGTAAAAATTAAAGCTTAGGTGTTAGGAATGTCAATACAAAGAAATTGTGTGGTGTGTAAATCTTCCTATATTAAAAAATTAACCCATCATCATTATCATCTGTTGGATGTTGTTTCCATTTCCCAATCCTTGAATGGAAAGACAAGCTCAAGGGCCTACATATGGCTGGTGAGATCCCTCCTTATTTCAGGAATTATGGGGGCCATTTCCTTTATTTTCATACAAAAAGTTATCAACTATATTCAATATTTTTTGAAAAAAAAAATGTGCTGTATTATTTAGATTTCCTTTATTGTTAAGATACTCTTATGTCTTCCCTATTTTTCTACATTGTAAGCCTCCATAAATTGGGCCTATCTTCAGCCGATGAAGGTATGTAGCATTCTTTTGTTCCACTTAATGATCTTCTATCTAACATCACCATCAACTTTATCCCAACCATTGTAGTCAGATTTAGAAGTTCTCATTCTGTAGTCATTCCTTATTGATGTTGCATGAGACGTTAACACTATTTACACAAATATTTTTCAAAATTATGAGCTATGTTGCATAACGTATCTCTTATCCATCCAAATCTTTTCACATTACTCTCTAATATTATTGATTTATCCTCTACCCTTTCCTTGTACATGCTAAAGACCTCCTATTTATGTGTTAGTATATTATTCATCATCTCTCTCATGCTCTTGACTTGACCAAACCTACATCTTTTCATACCCATTGACCACTCAATTTAGCTTTGCCTAACACTTAGATTTAAATTAATATAGCTAGAATATATATAGTTCTAAAAAATTATTCTTTCAATCTACCTGAATTTTACATAAGCATACAGTACTATGTACTCCTCACAAATTTCTTGATTTTAATCACTCAACATTTCCAAAAGTTATATCCTCATCAATTTCCTCATTCTTCTAAATAATGCCTAATGCTTAAGAGGGTAGCACATAAAATTCATTTCCTAAAATTTATAGTTCTCTATAAATTTTGTTCCATCAATTATAAAAACAAATTTAATATCTGAAAATAATGCAATAAAAAGGACTAATTATTGCAACATAAAAATAAGAATTTTATTTTATGCCAAAAATAATAATAATGGTGGTGATTTTGTGATAATAAACTAAAAGAAAGTATAAAGAATATACACACATAAAGTATAAAGAAGGCACACATGCGCACATGCACATATACATACATAAATACATATACACATGCATGCATGCATGTATACATGCAATCTACTAATATGGCATGCATGAGAAGAAAAGGTCTAAAACAACAACAAGTCTTTATCCCACTAAGTGGGATTGGCTACATGAAAGCTTTTTCTCCATTATCCTATTAAGTGTCATATTTTCATTTAATTTTAATAAATTAAAATCATTATTTAAAATATGACCATGTCTTTCTAGATCTACCACTGTCTTTCTTAACATAAGTTGAATCTAAAACATCTACTCTCCTAACCGGGTGATTAGATGGTCGACGTTTAATGTGACCAAACAATCTAAGACGACTCTCTCTAATTTTATCCACCACTGGAGCTAAACCAACTCTATCATAGATATATTCATTTTGCATTTTGACTCGTTGTCTCTATCTAAGTGTCAAGCCACTCATACACCTAAGCATTCTCATCTCGACAACACTTAACTTTGTTTTATGCTTCTATTTTAAATGTCAGCATTCTGCACCATAAAGCATTGCAGATCTCGCCACCATCTTATATATGTTTAGCCAGCTTATCCAAATAATCAACTTATCCTCATAAGCTGCTCATCAGCAACTGATCTGGATAAGTTAATTAGTTGTTTGGTTTATGCGTTTGAAAAAAATTAATTTACAGTTGTTTCTGAATAAATAATCATTCTGCCCCTAATTCAAATAAGCTGGCTACATTTATATATCCATCATCTAAAGTTTAATATTTATATGTTTAATATTTTGATAAAAATAATTATACAAGAAAATATGTATTCTTAAAAATATCAAGAAGGGTTAGGTCTGTTGAAAATATAATAAATATAAAATGAATATAATATTAAAATAATATATTATTTGAAATATTTTGAAGTTGTTTAATTTAATTTAAAATAAAAGTGGTAATTTTAATTGATATTAAAGGCTTGAATGCTATGCATGTCAATATGAAATTCCAAAATTTAAAAAAAAAATAGTTTCCTCGATATTTTCGTTTCTCGGTCTTCAGCCGAAAAGAACAAACGAGCCATAAATCCAATCTCTCTTCCCCACCTCTGGCCGCTCCCAGTAACTCCGATGATCCCTCGTCGGAGATGGAAGACATCGGCGACCCGTTTCTCGAGCTCATATCCCCTTCTCTTGAGGTTCGACGGCGAGGCACTGGAGCAATCATCGCCTAGCTCAGAAGAAGCGGCGGACAAGTTTATAGAAGAATAGTTGGACGAGCTATTTAAGAAAGAAGAAAATCGGCCTCTTCTTTATCGACTCGACAAGGCCTCCCGCCGCGTGGAGAGAACCAGAGCTGCTCTCACCAAGTTCGAGAAGCAAAAAGTCGAAGCCCTTTTCAGTAAGCAGCTCGTTTTCCGGATCCAAAGCTAGGGCTAGTACGCGGGATCGAGAAAGGGATCGAGGGCTCGACGGGTGGAAGACATTGGTCGTGGAAGACGTGGGTCGCTGAGTCAATCCTGCGGCCCCCACGTATTAAGGAATTAATAACGGCATTTCACCTTAATTTTTCCAAATGCACGAACCAAAAGGCAAGGAGTCTTTTTCAAAACGCCGCCCGCACTTATAAGCTGCCCCAAATGGCCCCATAATTTTCCTTTCAGTCTAAGCGGTAATTTTTTATCACACAATAGGCCCGATGCATTCTTCCACTTCAGCCAACCGACTTGAAATCTAAAAATAACATCCACATCTATATCACCATTACTTTGAACAATAAACCCGCTATATCTAAAATGTTCACACCTTTTAATGATTTGATCACTCATAGTTACAATTATGCTACTAGAGCTACTAGGACTAAAACTACATTCCATGTATTCGGCTTTAGTTCTACTCAAACGAAGGTCTTTAGTCTCTAATGTAGACTTCCACAATTCAAGTTTTTCCTAAACTTTTTCTCGAGTCTTATCCACAATAAGGATATCATCAAAGAAAAGCATAAACCAAGGTACATCCTTCTGTAAATGTCCAGTAAGAGCATCCATAACTAAAGCAAAAGATATGAGCTTAAAGCCAATCCTTGATGTAATCCAACTGAAATAGGAAAATATTGGGTCAATCTTCCTTCTATAAGAACACAAATATAAGCTCTGGTATACATATATTTAATGACTTGAATATAAAGCATATCAATATCTTTCCTTTCTAGAACTCTCCAAAGGATTCACTTAGAACTTTATCGTATGTTTTTTCTAAATCAATAAAAAATCATAAGCAGATACTACTTATTCCCTCTGTACTTCTCCATCAAACCTCTCAATAAATGTATAGCATTTATAGTAGACCTGCCCAACATAAATCCAAACATATTATGAGAAATCTTTGTAATACCTTCTTAATGTAAGTTCAATTACCCTCTCCAATAATTTTAAATTATGACACATCAACTTAAACATCAACTTAATTCCTCTGTATCTGTAATTTGCACACTCTCGTGCATCCCCTTTATTCTAAAAAATGGGGACCAAAATACTTTTCCTCCACTCATCGGGCATCTTCTTAGTTTTTAAAATAATATTCGAGAGTTTAATAAGCCAACAAACTCCCAAATCTCCAAAATATTTCCATACATCAATTGGGATATCATCAGATCCTACTGATTTTCCTCCCTTTATTTTTTTCTAAACCTTCCTCAACTTCTTATTTACTAATGTAATGATAAAAATAAGATATTTTATCATTTAATGTAGATTCTTGATGTAACTTATTATTTTTCCAATCTAATTATTCCACAACTATTCTAAGTACTGCTCATTTCTTCTTTTGAATATTCTTCTTGCAGACCTTTTTTTCATGAAGGTTTGCGAAAAGAATATTCAAAAGGAGAAATGAGCAGTATTTAGAATAGTTGTGGAATGATAGATTGGAAAAATAAAAGGTTACATCAAGAATATACATTAAATTCATATCTTCTATTACTTATCATAAATGCGCAAATCTTAAAAAATAAAAAATGAGACACTTGAGTAATCGTATATGATAGATGATCAGAATATAGAACCTCAATGTGTATTATTTTTCTAATTACACTCTAATGAAATGAGACTAGATTTAAAGAATACGTAAGTTGGAAAAAGAAAATGAAGATTTAGAAGAAAAGGAGAGCACGAATTATTTGATCAAGAAAATAATTAGGAGCATAAAAGAAAACTAATATTATAACACATCAATAATAGGATATGTTATAGAACTTAGAATTGGGCCAAAGTAACAAAAAAAAAATCGTTTATATGTGTAAATAGTGAAGTGAAGATGGATGTAGGGTAAACCTATGAAGAGCACGGCGTGAAATGATCATATTAGAAAGAATGCAGGAGTACATCAATTAATGATAATATTATACGAAAATTGAATTAAATTCATGTGCAGCTAAGAGGTAAAGGCTGCATATATAAAATGCAAAAAGTAGAACTGATTTGTAAGAAGCAGAAAGAAAATTAATAAAAAAGACAATAAAAATGGTAGAATTTGTGCAAAAATAATTAGTGATACTAGAGTTGAAACGAAAGCATAAAATCAACAGGAACAAAATGAGAACGATCCCATGGAA